CTTCTATCTTCTTTTGATTTAAGCTTGGTCATGATCCCATCAAGCTTTGGCATGCTCTCCTGAGCAATGAGGGCTAAGGTCAAAGCTTCCCATGAACTTGGTATAGTGTTGAGTAGGTGGAACAATTGCATGTTCACGTTGGGCTTTACTTGTGTCGTCTCAAGCACTAGAACCCATGCCCTGAACGTTTGAATGTGCTTGGCCAACTTTCCTCCATCTTTCATCTTTAGGTCAAAGTACTACTTTATTGCAAGGTATTTCTAGTGAGGGAAGGAATGGCATATTCTTTCTCGAGTTGCTGATGCATTCCTTTGCAGTCTTCAAGGTTTCGTACTCAAGAGCATGGCAGTCATCCATAGCCATTAGAAGGAAATTCTTAGTGGGGTATCATTGCGCTCTCACTTTGTATAAGCTTCCTAATTGCTTGCCACTCATAAGCATTGCCTCTCGGTTCATGTGAGATTTCTTTAAAGATGACATAGTGCATCTTTTCTTTCCAACTTGAATAGTTCTTCCCATTCAACTTTTCATTCTTTAGAAGTTCAGCCATAAAGCCTTTTGCCACCATGTTCTTGACTCAAGCAATAACAAGAACTCCTACACAATGGAAGTAAGAGGACTCACTCTGATACCAATGAAAGATGTGGCTATATAGAATTTCAAAGTACAATTTCAATCAAAATCTCTTTTTATGTACTACTAACTGGAATTTCTACTTACAATTACCACAATATAGAGCAAAAATAAAACATACTACAATCTAGGATCTTTAACTCTAACAGCCAAATAAAACTTTATTTTAAAGCTGAATTCAAATTTACAATATGAGTTCTAATATAACTAGGAATTCAACTCTAAGAGGAGTCCTAGTCCAAGGATTCAAATAGGAAATTCTAGTACAATTAGGAATTCTAAAATAAATAAGAATCCAGCACTGAAAAATAAAATAGATTAACAAAACTGAGAAGACTTAATAAAAATAGGGTTCACTTACCGTTATAATCCTTTCAGGAATGCCACGATGTGGCATCTCCCCATAACAAGATAAGTCTGGGCGTGCCCCCTCTCCTCGTAGGTGAAGCATGCCACCCTAGGTTCCTATGGGTTGTGGCATGCCATCCAAGAGAGGAGAGAGAAGGCTACAAAGAGAGAGAGAGAGAGAGAGAGAAGTGTGAGAGAGAGAGAGAGAGAGAGAGAGAGTAGTAAGGTAGTAGAG